TACGTCATGTTACCATTTAGGGTCGACTCAAATAGTTTCATGTTGAAACCGAGATTTAAATTAGCTATCAACAGGAAATTTTATGCAGCCCGAATTGTCATTGCTGAAAAGACAAGGTCAATGTTTCACCCCAAACCTAAACAGCACGTGAGAGATTGTGTCACATCATATTGTGTCTATCAAATTACGTGTATTTGCGGAAACACTTAAAAAGGGAGGAGCAATCGTGATTTGCAAGTGAGGGTGGCGGAACGCATACCTAAATGACTAAAGAAACAAATGAATTCCAATGGTCAAATAAGATCACACGATAGACAGATATCTTTACCCATTGCGAAACATTTGGTTGAGACTTGTCATACGGTTGATATCATGTCAGCATTTGTAGTGTTCTACAAAAGCCTTTAAGGGTGTATGCTAAGGATTATTAAGGCCTTGGCTATATGGAAAATGACACTCCCTTTATGTATTCAAAAACAATTTGTTCTTATCCTTAACCTGCCCTGGTAATATTGACTTATTATGCAGAGTGGTTACCAAATAGTTTTTTGTTAGGGCTTACCTTAAATTTGTTTAGTTTACCTTTTAGTTTTCATATAAAAATGTCTTAACAAGTATATGTGTGATCACAGTGTTCGAAATGTTTTGAGCAAATATATCATATAATTATGGTAACCTTCTTCTTCTCATTTCATTATCGAAAATTCTTCAACTTATTATCATATACAATGAATGGATAGATAAATACTAACAACCGTAGACAAAAAATTGGTCATTATTTTTCAAAATCAATTCATGTTAGTGTCAAATTATTTTGTATCACAGTAGACCTTTTAGTAGACCTTTTAGACCTTTTAGACCTTCTAGAAACTTACTGACATACGCCTGCTATCTCTCGTGGAGGAATATAAGCCACACACCACCACTCCTCGTCAAACTCTGTCCTGAACAATACTTTACCACTGTCTCCAGTTGCTATTCATCCTTTCCATGTCTCCTTCCAATTCTCAACACACTGTGTTATTGTTCAAAGATCCCCATCATATTAAAAGACTAATATTTGAACGAAGAATATTCTTTTCGATAAATTCTCTTCAAGTTCTACAATTATATATCCAAATTAATAATCCGAAAAAATGGCCAGGTTAAGGGCAAAGTACATCGTTTAATGAATGTAAATTTAGGATTGTCAAACCAAATAGAATACAATTGTTAATGTTGATAAGGTGAGAGAGATATAATAGTGCAATTACAATTCGATCAAGCGGAAGACTAAATTGTGTGAAAAATTAGTAAGACGTAATAAGGAGGGATCAATGCGAAGTGAATGAATTATGTATAGGGAAGACTAATAATGGTGTCTAACCAATAATAATAATAATAATAATAATAATAATAATAATAATAATAATAATAATAATAATACAAAGATTTGTGAATAAAGATAAGAGAGACAATTACATTTGACTACGAAAGGTCGTAAATACGTAGTCAAATTAGGTCATCCAATAGCTAAGATTACTATTGATTAATTGGCCTTGTGGTTGGCCAAGGGAAGAGCAAGGGTTGGAGATATTTCTTCTGTACTCATAGCTCCGGTTTCATCATCCGGATGGCTATTGCCTCAGCCGTTTGAAGGACTTTAAGCCTGACAGGCTTTGGTAAAACTTACTGACCATATAAATAATTAAAACACAATTATATGAACGAAGGATATTCTTTTCAATAATTTCTCTTCAGGGTCTACAATTATCACATCCAAATGAATAATCCACAAAAGAAAACTGACCAAGTTTAAAACAGAGTACATCATTCAACAAAACTGTAACATGTGAATCAAGGATTGGTTGTCATATAAAATAAAATCGAATCGTTAATGTTGGAGCTGACTAATATGAAGTGTTAACTTGAATCAGTTTATAAGTGAAATGAAATCGTAAGATAAATGATCAAAATAAATATAATTGGCATGGAGTATGAGAGAGAATAATGGGATTACAAATCAGAAATTACGTAATATGTAGAATAATATGAAATAGGTCAGATATAGTAAATAGGGGTGGATGCAGAATAAATTTCTCTAAAAGGTTAGCAAGTGTGATAATAATAATAATGACTGGTAAGATGTGAGGATAAAATAAGTTTAGGATATAAAAATGGACATTAATCAAATTAATGTCACCATATTATAAAATTGATTATTAACAAGTTGACCCTGAAGTTGGCCAGGGTAGAAGGAGCGGCTGGACATATTTCTTTTGGATGCAGAGCTCTGGCTTTTTGATCCGGATAGCAATTGTCTCAGCCGTCTGCAGGATTCTCAGTCGGACAGAATTAGACAGACGGCTGTTAACACGATATATTATTGTGAAAGATTGATCGATGTTGGCTGAACTAAATGGGCTAAAATGGAGCTATTAACTGTTTTCACTACACCTTTGCTTAACCACACTGGGAGGTGCTCACGAGCCCGAATATACAAATTCCTAGAACATCCGCCTGAATAACTTGCCCCACAGGAGCAGTTCAATTAATAGATACAAAAAGAAGTGGCTAGTCTAGGCAATTTATCTTTCAACATCGGCATGATCATTGGACGTATGGAAAACATTAGTCACAATAATATATCGTGTTAACAGCAGTCTATCTAATTCCGTAAGACTTATTTTGATGTTGGTTTGTTCTCTGAGCTGATTTGTAATCCCATTGTTCCATCTCACCCCCTTGTCAACTATATTTATTCTGACCATTTATCTGAAAATTTCATTTCACTTATAAACTGATTCAAGTTAACACTTCATATTAGTCAGCTCCAACATTAACGATTCGATTTTATTTTATATGACAACCAATCCTTGATTCACATGTTACAGTTTTGTTGAATGATGTACTCTGTTTTAAACTTGGTCAGTTTTCTTTTGTGGATTATTCATTTGGATGTGATAATTGTAGACCCTGAAGAGAAATTATTGAAAAGAATATTCTTCGTTCATATAATAATGTTTTAATATGATGGGAATTTTTCAGCGATATACATAATTGAAAAGGATTGGTTTATACTGGCACTATGACCAGTTTGTACTGTGTTATTTGGTCTTCCCATTTTCCATTTCCCTTCAGCGTTCCATGCTAGCTCTTGCCTCGTATTGCAGTTTGATGATTTCCACAATGTATTTCCTATCCACATCCAACGTCCCTTCCTAATTCTCTCTTCAGATAGAAGTTGGTTCGTCCTCTCCCACAATAGACTGTTGTTGATGATATCCAGTGAACGGACATAGAGTATTTTGTGTACACAATTGTTCATAAATACTTGTAATATTTTGATGCTGGTTGTGGTAGTTGTGCAAGTTTCAGCTGTATACAGTGGAAGTGTCTTGATATCTGTATTGAAGATTCTGATTTTGATGATGGATCGCATATAGTTGTTTTGAGTTCGATATGTTGTTCAGTTGTAGGAATTCTGTTCTTACTTCGCCAATCCTCACCTTCATGTCTGAATCAGATCGTTGTTGTTGATCGATGATGCTGACCATATTATGTACGTGACCGTTTCCATCTCTTTCTAAAATTGTCAATCGAGTGTGATTGGGTTGGTTGGTGTTTTCTGTGTTGTATTTGAGGATATTGGTATTTCCGTTGTGCATGTTGAGGCGCACTGTTGCATTGTATGTTACTTTAATCTCCATATAATAAATTAGGTTTCGGCATTGAATAAACATTTTGATGGGACTCCGCCCTGTACCATTCTTTCTCAGTTCACATAAGTTTCTTCCTATAATTATCCTGATATTGTCATTCTTATGACATACCATTGCTGTTAATACTATCATTATCATTAATATTTTCACAATCTCCTTATTTCTTATACGATGCATTGTATTCAACTAATTCAATTACTGATTGTAACTTTCTCCACTATAAAACCATGCTTATAAATTCACCACTGTAGTATCTAGTAATGAAATTAACGAAAACAAGTAGCACTCAAATATTCCTTGATCTGGGATACTCTGTTTAGATCTCTAAACCAGTGATTGATATACATGGTTGTTTCAAATAAATAGAGTTGACGATTATTGAAGGAATAAGAAAGACGATTATGGCCTCAAATTAAACAGCAGTTGAATAACTGATGAGAATGTGAAAGTGCTGGTAGAAATAGAAAACCATACCAAAGAATGATTACATTGAATATTGATGTCCACTAATGATGATTACAATACTCCCTCTGTGATTAATCTAAATCAGTTATAGTCTCTCACGAGAACATCTCTCAGTTAGTTATAATCACTATTTATTAAGTTAGTTAGTCTAGATCTACATAGTTTGAACAAAATTTACCATTAAGCGTTAACAATCGCTTAATGTTAATTTGGGTAACTTTAAACACCATTGTTAAAGTAGTTAGGAAAGTATACCTTACTAAGCAAAGATGGATAGTGGCTAGTAGTGGAATCCAGGACGCGCGTTTCGTCCTATTTGGGACTCGTCAGCTGGATGTACCTGCATCTCAGAGTTGATGTTCACTCTGGGACTCGAACATAGTCCCTTTCGCTTTCGTTATCCACTCGTCCACTGAGTCCTGATAGCCACTTGCTTGTGCAATGGGGTGAAGTTTAAATTCAACTTAGTATTGTTTGTTTGAATCTTCCCATCGATATATATGCAACATATGCCAATTAGAGACTGTCCAGTTGCAGTCCTAACACATCGATGGGAAGATTCAAACAAACAATACTAAGTGAATTTAAGTATACCTTACTGTTTTAATGTGGAAAATTTATAGAATTGTACATTTCATTCATTATAATTACGCCTATGATTGATTTAAAACGATTAAAAGCGATTTAAAACACACAGATAAGACATATACGTGAAGATTATGGTATGAACCAATTGAAATAAGTGGTAAATGTTTATGTATCCATATATATACATACAAACATATATATAGATATAGATATTGTCTATGAAGCCAAGCTATTAAAGTGTTTGTACATCTCTATAACCTATGTAACACTTTATTATGCAATCATTTTTTTTTTATAGTTTAATTTTATGCACCAAATTAATTATCCAAGTGCAAATTTTTACGCACAACACACGCTTTGTTGTACCTGTCATCTGATTATAGGTGTAGAAAATCAAATATTCAATATGTATATATACATATACATATATATAGATATATAGACTATTTGAAGCCATGCTACTAAGATTTTTATTTTCTCACTTTATTGCATTTATAATAAGGTCAAAAGTATGACACGCCTGATGATATAAATAATGTCTGATATGAAAAAAAATTCACTATAAAGTAGCATTGTGAAGGCAATTAGTGAACGGCTACTCAATTTATCCGCGTACAAATTAAATTTTTTTTAAAATAATGTCTGAACAAAAAGCAGTTATCAAAAATGCCGATATGTCAGAAGATATGCAACAAGATGCTGTGGATTGTGCAACACAAGCCTTAGAAAAATATAATATAGAAAAAGATATAGCAGCATTTATAAAGAAAGAATTTGATAAGAAATATAATCCTACATGGCATTGTATTGTTGGACGAAATTTCGGAAGGTTAGTAATATTTTGTGACTTGATATACATATTTATTGTTTAATATGTAATTGATCTAATTTACTCACCGTCTATACAAAGACAGAAATCATTTGAAGTTACAATTTCGAAATTGTAACAATGCATAAGGAATTATGTAACTTTATTAGAATTCAATACTGGTTAGCATTCCTCAAGAGAGTTAATTTTTCTAATGGATGGGGTCGCTAACCCTATGACCAAACCACCTCCGTTATCCGGGATAGGAACCGGCAGTAACTCAATAAATGCTACAGGCGCAGTTGGAATTCAATAGTATACATGTATTTTGACTATATTCATCTATTTTTTTCAACCATATTTATGTTATGCGATTATCGTTCATATAAACGTGTACATACTCAAGTCACCAAAATAAACAGTTTTCAGTTTTGTCGTATACATTCTAGGAAGAGAAAGGATAATAAACTATGCGCTTTTAACAGGATTATGTTAGTTGGATTCCATTCATCAAACGACTCATCAAAATCACTGAGAAATAAAAACAATATCAAAGTGTAGATGGTAGAGGAGAATTTAAACTACACCTCAGAAGAGATCCCTTGCAATGACATGAAACTTGATATAACATTTAAGTTTTCTCTATAAAGGAACAGTTTGATTTTCAAAGAAGACGATGTCTGTCTGATCAATCAGACGATATTTGGATGTTTAATGGTAATGCCTCTTATATCTGCGTTACTTCAGTCATTCACTCTGTTTATAAATAGAATGTTTAGTTCACGTTGCAAAACGGTCGATAAAACACACAAATGTCAGTTTGACTGGATGTAGGAATGACAAGCAACATCAGTGGTGTATTTAGTAATTCGTTCGTGAATTAAGCATCAGTCCCTAGAGTAACAATTACAAACTAAACTTAGTTGATTTCGATTGAATGTTTTTCATATTTTGTCATTCTATGCACCCTGTGGAATTTCCTGTTTTGTATTAGTGAATTCAAATGAAGTTCGTAAGATTATCCAGCTAACTGGTTTGTCATTTCTCTCTTTTTATTACAGTTATGTAACGCATGAAACAAAACATTTCATCTATTTTTACTTGGGACAACAAGCAATTCTTCTCTTCAAGTCTGGTTAATTCGGAGAAAACCAAAAATGCAAGAGAAATGCCACCAAAACAAACATTGTAATACATATCTGATTTTTCTACACGCAGCGTAACCCAATTAACACGATTTTCTGTAGTTCTCATTATTTACCGACTTCATCTTTCTATCAACAAACATAGAAACTTATACAGGTTGAATGAAGATCACAGAACAGAATAAATATTAGTATGACAGATTTTGTATCCAGATTGTTTTTTGTACTGGTCGTCAGTGTGTGCTTTTGTCTGTGGTAATTTTATATAATCGAAAATGAAGCTTCTTCATTATTAATAAACAATTCAAATAAACTATTATTCGTACAGATGACCAAGAGTTTTTTTTATATCTCGTTACATAGGTTCGTTTCAGGATGGGTAATTTCATTTTCATTTCTAGTTGCTAGAGAAGATATGTAGTAGAACACAGTTGATGCTTAATGTGAGGTAATTTTCGAATCGTATTTAGTGCACGGTTACTGTAACAGTGGATCATGAAAGTCAGTCGTTAAATTATAACATGGAGAATATTTCAGTGATAATTATAAACTGATAGGATCGTTCTTTATTGACGCACCTCCACATTCGATGTATACAATGCCCATATTCTGTGACTCTGGAACATCTATACTATAATCTAGTAATAACATAGTTATTGATTCACTGATCATTTCACTGAATGATTGAAGTATATTCATATATATCTCTCACAGCAACTTTCTGTTTATAAACAGTAGTATGTTTGTTTAACTACTGAAAATAGATTAAGTTTGTATAGTTTCTTGATTACGTGAATAGATCACATTCAAAATGTACGCTCCATTAAAATGTGCATCATAAAATCAATTGTTAGCAAACATACCATCAGGCAACGAGGCATCTCGAATCCCTCCTCTAGATGACTGAGATGCCTACATATGCATACTTCCCTTGTTAACTCAGTCAGTTCGGCTGCACATTCCCATTTCGCAAATCGACTGTACCCATCATACTTGCAAAGCAAAATACTAACAAATGTTCGCTTCAAAACATGTTAAATGATACAGATAAGAAAGTATATGTGAACTACTTTGATTTTTAAGGAATCGAAGCTCGTCTTACACTCGTATTCTAAACATTTGATGCTTATAATCTAAATGATGTAAGAGAAACAGAGATGAAACATCACATTCGTCAAAATATATTTCAAAATTAATTTAGTCTACAAGTTTCGTATGATGACTCATAAAGGAGGTATTTCTGAAAACTTATATTAATAACAAATTATGTCTCTTTCATCCAATCACTGGTTTCGGTCGTCTTATACATCAAGACTAATTAGTAAAATGTGTCAATGACTGAAAGAGATGTGAATGTTTCAGCCTTACATTAACATAGTAGTTGAGTATTTACCAGAACTAGAAACATGTTCACAATCCCAATTTAATCTTATCAAATATGATGGAGAAATCGTTTTGTGTTGAGGTGAATCGAAGCACAGGTAATGATGTTTGTATGAACTAATGATTCATTTGTACTTTTTGTGCACCTAATTTTGAGTTCCAAATACAATCCGTTCGTAAAGAGTACGGTACAGTCAAATGCACTAAACAGAAATTATTGAGTTTCATAATTCAATTCTCTTAATTATTTCTAGTTTTGTTCAACTGGCAATTACAAAGACTCCATTTTTCCACACAACTTTGAAATACATGTACGTATGTAATTCATCTCATTGAATTAGCACAATATTCTATTATATATTCACACATGTATTAAATAAATCAATAGTTGAAAAAGTCTATGTTACTTTGTTGCTAGGTATCCATTTGTACTATAAAGGTTTATGTGAGCAAAATTAAATATCACTGGAAGAACCAACTGATCAATAATGCATCAATCACTAAGTCATTTACTTATATAAAAAAAAACAATCGCTAGTATGAAACGATTAGAAATATGTATCCAGTTTCTTTCATTCAAATATTTTAAAAAAAAGAAGAAATTTTTCAATTATCTAAATGTATATGAACAGTCAGCAATTGTTTAACGAGAAAGTCATTTTTTTAGTTACATTTTATTCTGAACCTACACGAAGATGCATTTTGTGTAATGCTTCTTCATCAATCTGTGAGGTGATATTTGAAATGATGAAAAAGTCAGTGCATCTATAGTATTAATTTGATACAGAAGAAATTTTGAACCACACATAGTCCACAATTAACTTGCCTACAGATCAACGAATGATAAATATGCTTATTTTACATTATGAAATCTGCAACATTATTGATGGAGAGTTGATTCACTTCACAAAGATCATGTAATTGCAACAAAGATATGGTTCAGAATAGTTTAATGAAAGCAACAATATGAGTTTTCGTCTCATTAAAGACGAGAGGATATTGTTCATTGATTCTAGTATGGTGGTCGATATTATCCTTAAACTTCGTATATTGTTCGTCCTATTAACCGTTACTCGATAACTCCCCTACGGTGTATAAATCAGAAGGCGAATATGATGGGTTGATTGCGGTTATTAATGGATCACACACAGATATCCCAAATTACAGGTACGTTAAGCAAGCATGAAAGAGTAGTGCCGTAAAGCAGGCGAGTGAGCGTGAGAGTCGAATGAGCAAGAGATCAATCGATCAAGGCATGCGAGTATAGTACAGTGCAGTGAACAGGATTAAGATGTACATATATGTACAAATAGAAATATATATATCATCGAATCAATTAAGTGATTAATAGTAAGGCTAGCAGAATGAATACATGCGTAGGCAGTATGCAATGCTGAAGCATACATAATAAAGGTACAATAGTATAGATAGGTAGTTGTTGTACGAATGATTGTCCGTTAAATAAGTTAACAAAAGGGCTTAGCCAAATTAGGTGTAAACAAACTCAATTGTATGTGAGCTGCTATACTAGAACCCTACGGTATAGTGTTCACTGTTGAAGAGTAATTCTGAAGACTCGTAAAATAAAAATACAACTGTTCAACTAAGATCACTTTTCTGTAGCCTTTAGCTGACGTTATTTGACGGTTAAATTCATGTTCAAACGGCATCAACTCACTATCAAACTATCTATTTCAAACAGGAAATCAAGCGAAAAACATTGGGCATTATTCAACTTATTTAAAAAGTAAACAAAATTATTCCGGAAATGATTCTGATCAATTTTTAAACAAATGTTTAATTTGCAATGTTTTCAGATGTCAGTGATTTGAATAGAATTTGTAATGTCTAATCTTATGTCAAGTTCACATGGGTTATTCTATTTTCTGGACAGACCAGTTTATTGATTCTCCTCAATTCACATTTTGACTTTGTTAATGAAACGTTTACCAATTTTGATTGTTTTAATATGAGTGCATGTGTGCACATTGTTTATCATACACATCACATGTCTATGGTTTATATTTGTTTGCTTATAAATATCGATTCACGCTTGGTTAAATCTAGTTGGTTCATATGCCATCTCTCATTCATTTTGCTTCTCTGTCTCCTCTTCACTTTGTTTTCCTGATTGTCAGTTCAATTCAACGATTGCATGAAATATATATGTACTCAAAATACATTCTCGTGTTTGACTTATTGAGTAACATGAGTTGAGTCGATAATAATATAGGAGGATTGGTGGTATGTATATTTCAATAACAAACATTCATTCGATCCAATTGGTGTCAGATATCGACCAGCAAAAGATTTCGTCATCATACATTAATGATGGAAGCTTATTCAAATTACATACCATGATGTTATTCAAAAAAGAATTCTGTATTCTTTGTATAGTAAGAAACTTAAGTGGAAACAAATCATATGACTTGAACTAATCAAAAGATGACCACGATATGATTTGCGTTTCTTAATGACATTTATAATCGTAGCAGAATAATTCAAGTTCAAATGTAGTCAAGTGGTCCATTCACTTAAACATTTAAGAGTACTTGATGGTCATTGTGAGAGTAATGACAAACTGAACATATTCGTAATTCATTTAAAGTAAACAGAGAGTTGAACTCAAAATCTATGCAACAATTATATTGTTGTTCAACTTCAGTTTGAGTATATTTGTCTTAAAACAGAAAAAAGGTTTTAATAAATCAGAAGGGGATTTGTGGAGATTTCAGTATTTTTCAAAGTTGAAATTATGAGTCAATTGAAGCTAGACCACCATCGAAAACCTGGAAGCACTGGATGGCCGTTTAGTCCTATTATGGGACTCCTCAGCAGTGCGCATCCACGATCTAGCACTCGCGAGATTCGAACCCAGGACCTACCGGTCTCGAGCCAGAGTCCTTAACCGACAGACCACTGAGCCGGCCGGCACAGAATATGAAGATTAAATTGGACGACATGGACTGGAAAGGAGAAATGAAAATGGAGAGAGATTTGCAAATCTATGCGCATTCAACAAATTGGTTATAGGCGGCACAATATTCACACACAAACGCATACACAAAGCTACATGAATCTCACCATACCACACCACAGAGAATCAGATAGATCATATTTGTATCAACAAAAATTCAGAAGATCAATGGAAGATGTGAGAACAAGGAGAGAAGCTGACATAGCTTCACATCCCCACTTGGTTGTGGCCAAGATGAGACTGAAGCTAACGAAAGACTGGACAACTAGACAAACAGCACTACAACCAATTGCCTTCACTGAGTTGTTATCTCACAACAGACGTGGATGAACTCCACTGGTCACTGCTTCCCACTAGAACTCCAGGACATGTATCTTGAAGTCAGTCACTAGTGAGCATATGATTATAATCAGAAGGGGATTTGTGGAGATTTCAGTATTTTTCAAAGTGCGGGATCGTGGATGAGTACTGCTGAGGAGTCCCATAATAGGACTAAACGGCCGTCCAGTGCTTCCAGGTTTTCGATGGTGGTCTAGCTTCAATTGACTCATGATTTCAATTTTAATAAATCATTCGATTTCGATAACATTACTTGACTGACGTACTTCAATTTATTCAAGTGAATCAACTAAATAAAAGATTGAGTTCAATGTTCTAAAGTTCTCTTGTATAAATCATCCGTAAAATTAGAATAGTTTAACTTTTAAATGTTTAACAAACTAGTGGTGTTTAGAAGTAAATGAACAATTAGTGTATTGAAATGTAAAAATAATTGACCTCCTAAATAGATATGAATAAGTGGAACGTATAGTACATCATAGAAAATGTTGGAACATATTCACTAATTTGCATAAATAATACCCATTGTTCATAAAATTATCACATAAACCAGAATAGTATTTATTTGGCAAAGTTCAGTATTTGTAGATTTGAGTTATATTTTGTTATGTAGATAATTCTTATTAGAA